AGAGAAGAGAGAAACACATTCTGCTGCCAAAATGGCAAAGTTAATACACCTGTACCTCCCGCACCCTTTCAAGAACTAAAAGTATTGCAATGTACCAAGAGCGCAGCTCTTTCGTACCCCACTGTAGGTCATACAATATTGCTCTCGCCCTTGCTTCAAGTGGGAGCAGTGAACAAGCTGAACAGAGCTTCAATCCAACCTTCAAAATGCAGGGCAACCTGTACCACCGATTAGGAAATCTTCCCATTGCTGGACAGTTAGTCCTGCTTTTGCAATGACTGCCAACAAAGCTCAGGGGTAGACTTTGAAAAAGATAAATCTAGAGGTTTCTTAACTGGGCAATTTTTTTTCACATGAACAGTTGTAAGTGGCTATGAGTCGTGGTGGGTCCAAGGACTCTATTTGAATGCGTGCAAAAAGACCTGCTTCCCAGGACGGAGTTGCAGATGGCACTTATTAAAAGCCAGCACTGTTGTTTATATAGAGTTCCTACGACAATGAATATGGTACAGACATTTTATCTTGGGGTTTCCTATCACAAGACTATTATATCACCGTTCGTAGAACAGGTCTTTATCTTGTACCCATAAAGCACAAACCGACAATCGCCATCATTTTTTGTCTTTAGATGTCTATACATGAATCCAGAACAAACAATGAAAACCTACAAGTTCATAGTTCGATGTTTGCAACGAAGATGACGACGAAAACGACGAGGAAGACAACAGCAGCAGCAACAACAGCAACAACAACGACACTATTTTAACCAACTTAAGTTTAGTTTTCTTCCCTGGCCTTCCTAAATAATGGACTCCATTTTGTTAGTACGATGTATTTATTTAACACTGTGCAGGTGATGTGTTAGCTAGAGTCCATGGACGGTTATAAAATTAGTTTTGTAGTCGGTAGACTGTACACTGTTACTTTTTTTAAGTTACGATTCACTTGCTCCTTGGACAGTGTGAAATTCTACATGTTAATTATGAGTAGGTTCAGGATAGTTAACATGTTAACATAGACCAACGTATGTTCATTTAACAGTCACCTGCTCAGCTGCGGCCGTCAGTACATAATCTGTTTTTCAGAGTTCTTGTAGCCATGCCTGTCGTGAACAATAAACAAGTCTTAGACTGAGCAAATTATCATTTTCACGACGTTGTGACACACAGGCGTGTGGTGGGCGATGGGCTTCCTGTCTCAGTTTTGCCTTTCTACTTTTCGTATGTGTCTGTCGTGCCGTCCACTGAACTAAAAGTGGTGCCGCCTCGAATAAACTAAAAACTGAAACATGCCAGTTTGTCACAGGCCTCGACTGGACCCTGCGTGATGGATGCTTACTGACACTCTAAAAAAGAGTAAATTATGAATGATTGATTGATTGTATGAATTGAATTTTATTTTTCAATTTCAATTAATTTTAGCGAAAGAACATTAGTTGTTGAAAATTTACAGAGTAATTTGCTTTGGTTTGCTTACAATGAATAAAACAAGCTGAATTGACATTTTAGAGGGAGTATCTCTACACCACCAATTTGAAGGCGGAGAATAAAAAAACTTAAGTTACACATACAGTGTTAACGTGCTGTAATTAAGATTGTTATCAATACTCAAATACAGGGTGACCCCCGCCCCTCCAAAAAAAATCAACTGTACAACTTTTTTTTCTAAATATCTCGCACAAAATTTGCATAAGAATGTTGTAACTTGGAACAAATATAATTAATTCCAAATGAATTTGTTTGTCATAAAATTCACAAAGAAAAAACTCATCTTCGAAAAGGGAAATGGCTTTTACAAAAACCACCAGTAAATGAAAAAAAGCACTAATTTTAAAGATGTACTAAGGAAAGTCCTTAAGTGATTAGCTTGTTTTTTCCTTTCCTTTTATTTTCAAAATCTAATCTTCCATCCCCCTAATCTTTAAACAATAATGATTGCTTTTCTCCTACAGAGTCAGAAATTTTTTTTTTTAATTCTGTAATTCCAAGAACCAATGGACTCCTTTGGACTCGACTCATTTTAACGCGTCATTCGTAATGTTCAGTGGTGGCCAAACACAAGGATCCACTCAACCATGAGTACTCAAAGTTACACACACTGTACCCCTTACAGTATGGAGCTGTTTCTAGAGACAATAGGGGCCGAGTGAGATTGCCCAAATCGACAGCATTCTTGGAGTTGATATAACCTGAAAGGTGAATATGGTCTTTGACAAGAAACCAAATGTCTTAGAAAAAATGTTCACGCTTTTCAAGACGATAGAGGAATCATGAAAACATTGCTGTCCTCTGATAGCTTCACGAAAAGGAAATGGTACAGTAGTAGATAAAGATCTGCCTTGATATAATGCGGATCGTTGAGATGTAAGAAAGTCATTGCTGCAGACATCGTCTACGGACAGACGTCTCATGGGGCTCATCTACTGAATTCTGCACCCTGGTGACGTTTAAAGGGCTGCGAACGGTGTGCGATTGACCTGAAGTGGTCATTTTGTCAGGGAATGTTTAGTTCTGATTCTCTACAGGTCCTAACTGATGGACCATTCCCAACGTTGTTATCAAAGAAGGCCTTAAGGGCACTTTAACATTATTTCCGTAGGCCTACCTTATGCGAAATTTACGAAATGAGTTGGTAGCGAGGAAACGTTCATCAATTTTTTTTTTAAAAAGCTCTCTTCCCTTTATTAATCTTACATCATGATCCCAAAAAGGCAAAGGAAACTTGAGAAAAACTAACAGCAAACTTCTGTTGGCCTGTTAGACCACTGTAGTTTGCAATATGGTGCAATCGGGATTTTTAGTGGTAGGGCCTAATGCGAACTAGTGCGTCATGCTACAAAAATGGCGACATAGCTGAAAACCAGTTGTTTTATTTACGCGCTATGTAGATCTAGATCAAAACTTTTCTGTGGATTTATCTAAAATGAATATTAGACAAATTCCTTTTGAATTCCAAATGTTGTGTACAAATTTGAGAAGCGAAACTTCAGTATGGGGGAAAATATTGATTTTAAAAGTTGTTAATTTTTTATTTATTTTTTTTAATAAAAAAAAAAATGGGGGGGGGGGGGGGTCACCCTGTACATAAATGAAATTGTGACAAAGTGGGCAGCCCCCCAAATCAACAGCTCATTCACCCCCCACTTTTTAAATTTAGAAGACGAGATGATGCGAGTTCCTCTGCACTTTGATGCAAGACTTGACTGTTGAGAATCTGTCGTTTTGAAGGACACATAATATAAGTAAAACTTAAAAGGCATCCTCCTGTCAGCTATTTTAACCTGTCCCCGTGGTTTTATGCAAAACAAATTATGAAATTATGCAAATTGAGAATGATGAAGGAAAATAATCAGAAATTATGCAAAACAATGATCAAATTTTGCTAATTTATGCGGGGTGCATAAAACCACGGGGACAGTTTAACATTCATCGACCCCCCCCCCCCCTCTTTTCCCTCTTCAATGTTATAATAGTTTACTACTCCCACCTTCCATTGTTTAAGTAATTATCCCTACCTCCAACTCACTACATGTAGTCTAGTCCTCTCCATACTCCCCCCCCCCTTTCCCCACTCACCCCCCCCCCCCAAGATGCATAGAGACATAAAATAAGAAAAAGAAATGGAATGAAAGTTAGGGGAAACGCAGGCTAAAACAATACGAAAAACTAGACAGGTGGTGCACGTCTGTAAGATTAATATAACGCTTGAATTATTTGGGTTTTGTTCACTCAGAGCTGGGGGGGGGGGGTGTCCTGGAATACGGGGAAGATACCCAAACTACATCATTGTTTTGTATAATGGATATACAAGATGGTAGGTACCCTTTCTTCTAACTACACGTAGCCTATTTCTCTGATAGCTGTGAAGTCTAGTCTTGTCAGGTCTTGATCTTTAGCCTACTTATGACATTATGTAACATTATGCTTTCTTAAAGTTGTTATAGTGCTCGACGAGGTTTGTAAGGGTCTACGTTTAACATTGATAGGCCTATTTTAAAATTAATATTCACCCCCCCCCCCCTCTCCCTCCCCCCGCCCTTCCACACACACATAAACACACACACACAAACAAAAAACAAAACACACACACACACACACACACACACACACACACACACACACACACACACACACAAACACACATTCTTAAGCTAAGTTGAAAGAGTCTTTCACACATGATAACGTCATGGTAGTGAAAACGTGGCCCCACTGAAAGAGGAGACCTGTTTAATTGGAATCTGTGTTACTGAATAATAAGCTCATCACAGAACCCAATGCTGATCTTGCAATGTTGATAAACGTGGCCACACCCAAACATGGCGACAGGATGGGTTTTACTATGCATAAGAAGATTTACAAATCTTTTCATGAACAAAAAAAGAACTCATTATGACTGACAAGGAAAAAAATGGTTATGTCATGTCCAATTCTAAAGGCTTAAAATGCTATAGCATTTTTTTGTTGGCCTGTCATAATGGGACTATTCAAAGTCTTGTGAGTTTAGTTATTCTAACTCCTCACAGGAACTGACAGACAAAAGTCTGACTATTCGCAAGATCTTGATCTATACATTATATCATGACTTGATTTTTATGTGTCTGTGGCTATGGGTAGAATGAAATGGTTCTATCCTATGAGCTCAAAACCAGTAGACTAGGCCAGACTATGTCCATTTTTCCAACTTCAGTCAAGATACCAGGATCAGCATTCCATAAAATATTTAATGAAATCATTATTGCTGCTTTCATCGAGTGAGCCTATAGGTTCCTTTAGTTTTAGTAGAGTTTTTACAGCGCTCGCAACTGCATAAGGTCATTTGAGCGCCTATGTTCCTGAAAAACAACAGTAACAAAAAATATCCTATGATAGAGAAAGAGTAGAGTAAGTAAAAGACTTTCTTACACCCCTTCTAATCACTACTATCTTGATTGGCAGAAAATGAAATTAAACATGGAAGACACTCATCATTCTTATATTTAACAAATGACTCAAAGATTCATCTGTCGTGGGCGAATGTTGCCCTCACAATAAAGTTTATTTTTTTTTACATTGAATACTGCCTACATTCATACAGTTAACATATTTCATCTGGAAGAGAGTAGTCTCAAAGCTTAAGATTGTTATTCTTATATATATATATAACACAAGACAAATCAAACCCAAACTATTTTACAAATGCAGCCATTCAGAAAAAGTATAATATTAGGTGAATTATACTATCTGATCTTGTTAGTTTGAATTAATTAGAGATATCTATATTGGATTCTTGACATTATGTTACCTACAGCATGTTTGCTGTTGAATTTAAATTTCAGTCACTATAACAAATCAACATTAATGTAATTTATAACAAACTTTTTTGAAATTACCTTTGGACATTTAATTTATCAATGCAATTCACTTCACAGTCTGTTGGTTACTTGAATTTAGAGAAAAATGGAAATTGTACCTGCGATATAATGTGAATTTAAATCCTAAATATTGAAAATCTGCCTATCAATATTCAAAGTGTAGAGAGACTAGGTGAAATATTCTAAATTCAACCTTGTGTTTGATAGACAGTTGCAACATTATCTCACATCATACATTGTGCACTAGCATCTCTGGTGTTGTGGTACATAGGCTCTTCATTGTTGCAAGCAGTATAATTATATAGAATTCCATTGCTTGGAGTGGAAGATCTTTATCGAGTATCCCTGTCCGCTTGCTGGGGTGTTATAATCCCCAGGTTGGTCTGGGCTGGCTGTGTCAAAGCCGCCCACCTCCTCAATAATCTAAATTGTGTCAAAGGGGGCGGTAAACATCTATAATTTAAAAGGAAAAAAAAATCATTACTCAAGAATTTGCATAAAATTGCAGTTAAAAACAGATTGGTTAAAGAAATCATGAAGCCATGACCTTGAAATATACAGTAAAATTATAATGATTAATTCACAAAAACAAGAACAAAACTTTTTTTAGCAGCACTACATACAAGTGTAGGCCCATGGGATTCTTGCCAAAAGTTCTGACAAACTTAAAGTCAAATACTTCTATCTCTAAGACAGTCACGATGCTCAGCTTCAAACTGTTTAAAATTGTACTGGTATTGTGAACACTTCTCATACAGTAGACTTCTTTGTGTACAGCTTAATCAAGTTTTACTAACAGAAAGATCAGTATTAAATAATGTAAGAAAGCTGACCACTTGGTAAATCTGGTTTTCAGTTTCAGTAGCCTAACTTCTATAGTATAATTCAGTCAAAGAGTGAAGACATTCATGAAAGTTACATGAATTGAATGGAAATTCAGAAACTGGCCAATTAAGTTTCTGTTACAAGAAAATCAATTCCTTCCTTGAGCCAGGTTTCGGTGACCGCTACCAGGGAATGATCATTATGGAATCCCTGACGATCAGTTTGACAGACACAAGGACTTTGTTCCACAATTTTGACCGTTTTCATTACATAATAAGTATATGAAATCACAAGCTAAAAAAATAGAAAGAACAAGATCTACGTAATATCATATGAAACATGAGAAGTGCATTACAATATTTACAAAGGATACATTTCCATGACAAGAGCTCTGTGACTTACTTTTTCATACAAATGTGACTTGCTTACATTCAGTGCCAACTGCCAGGCCACAAGTTCCTTACAGAAATCTGCGCAGGTTTTCACAATATTCTGACAACTCATCATAATCCTTGTAGCCATTTTCTCAGTCACAGGGCTTGTGCCTTCATTTTCAGCATTCTTTATCTTTTCCTTCTGTCATTCAGAATCACTGACTATGAAACACAAACTCATCAGTGAAAAATTCATCCAGTTCATACATTCAGCCATAGATGCAAAACCATGCATTCTGGTCCAAAGAAAGCCAACAGGGGTTAAATGGTATGCCGTGCTAATTTTCAAGGGAAACTAAATTGCTACAGTGCAGCAATCCTACAGATAATAGTAATGATCGTACTATGAAACCGAGTGCCGATGAATATTGATTCTGATTTAGGGGCAAAATAGAATAATGAACAGGAAAAAAATCAAAAACAAAGCAAAAACTGTAAAGCATTTTAGGCTCACAGTTCTAGTATAAACACATGACTCTTGACTTGATGGTCAGTAGAAGAAAACATTTATGAACCATGATAAAACTTTGCAGGAACAGTTTAAAGCATAACATCTATTGCACATTATACAACTTTAGAAATGACTTACAAATTTTAATCTAAATTTTAGACACAAGACTGATACTAAAACAAAGAGAATATACATTATATTTGTATTAGGGGATACACATTCATCCAGTCAGTCTAGAGGGCAGTAAAAGTAAAACAAAAGACATTGTTAAAAAAATAATACTTCCCTGGTGCAAATTCAAAGAAGGTGTGGTGTTCTTGTGAAGTTTTACCCATTAAAAAGCATTTGACAATAATCACGAAAACAAAATACCGGTGCCACACCCTATGATAGGATGTGTGAAGAATCATGATCAGATGTGATTTATCCTTTAAATAGAATCAGTAAAATGTGTGATTACAATGTGTTCACTGGTGCCACTGGTTTGATTAAACGGATTCAGAGCAAAAAGTTCATTATCACACCACAAAGGTGAGTAGCATGATGCGTTGACAGTAAAAGGTATTGCCAACATGCAGCAAAAAATATAACACCAAAAACATCACAAACACAAATTATTAATGGTATTGTGAAGCAAAAATTGTAAACCTCCATCTGACAATGACAGTAAAATATCAGAATAATTTTTCCTTTTTAAGCAAACTTTTTTGGTGTCAAACCAAAAACGCATGATTGACTAAAGAAATATAACCACAAAGAAACTGAATGAATTCAAGCACCAAATCATAGTTCAAATCTCATTTAAATGTCAACCTTCTAATCAAACAGACTCACAATAAAAGTGACAGTCTTACTACTGAAATGAATTTTTCAAAATTACCAAAATCCAATAGAAAGGTGCTTGCAAACATGACTGGTAGCTCAAGTAAACATTCAGTAGGTACGCAGATGCCGCAAAATGTGTCATCAAAGGTCGAAGGTTATAAGCTTAGCGGCAGTGACCAATCCAGTCATTCATGCGTCTTGGGTCAAACTATCCATCGTAAAATTTCAAATTTGTGTAAACATGACTAAAATGTAGGAAGGATTTTTAAAAATCTAAATAGAAAAAACAAAGCTGATAGATAATATCCAACATTGTAGGTACAGATTTACAAGAAAAACAAGTTCTTTAAAGTCTCTTTGTATTGCTCATATTGTAATTGTTTTTTCAGTCCCCAAAATAATGTCACCTTTTCTTTCAAAGACCAATAAATCATCGTCGAGCCATTTTGGATTTGTGAGGCTTTGGTCTTGAATGATCGGCACAGGTACGGCAGCATTTAGCCTGGACGTACTGCTTGTGGCACAGGCCAACTTTCTTCAGCATCCTACATACTTTGTAGTTCAAATCATTGGATTCACAGGAAACACTGAGGGCTGTGGAAAATAATTATACAATTGAACATCTCTCATCACATCAGAAACAACTCAGGGAAATATTATCTAACTTAAAAAGGAAAATAATTCAATGTTAAGTTTGAGAACTGAAAGAACAATCCGTAGAATAAGAAAAACTGTGATGCATATACAAGTAAAATATTTTACCTTACCCTGATTTGTTAGAAAAATACTGGTAGAGTAAATCTGGCTCTAACTCCATCTTCTTCTGGAATTAATGTTACTATTCTTATTCACTTATATCAAAAATTGAATTGATACCACAAGTGAAAATTTCACTGCCATAAAAATAAGAACAAAAATAAAGTATATTTTCTTATTCTCTTAACATGTTAGCCTGTCTACTTCTTGCTATGAGATCTCACATTCTCTCCCCTTTTATGGTAATAGACTAAAAAACCACAACCCTCAAAGTGCAAAGCATAGGCCACTTTTCTCCAGACATTGAACATACCTGCATTGACATTATCCGGGCAGTCCTGTTCATTACATTGCTGCTTCCTCTGGGGTTTCCGATCGGCTTTACAGCCATGTGCAAGTTGCTGAGAGGTCAGATTCACACACTGCACCAGTCTCTCCTGAATACCAGTGCCACAGGACTTTGTACACTGTGTGGTTGAATAGAAAATCAGGTCAGGTTGAGAAGCCAGGTTCAAGAGAAAGGGCTGGGAATAGGGAATTAAAGTCGAGGTTTCCCCCCCACTGGAATATCTATCAGCATCTCTGTTCTTATCTGAATTGGCATTAAAAGAAACACAAGGGTGAGTATTATCTAACATGATTTCATGTCACCGTCTATACAAACATTATGCACATCTGAACTCTGTCAACCCAAACTAGTACATTCATCCATGCGCAGCTTCCTTTTTGGTGTAGAGAATGTTCTGAGAATGACGTTAATTTTCTCAATTTGTAATTGGGACTTCAAATGTTTTGGGGTTTTTTGCATTTGATTGAAAGTGATCTCGAATACCATTTTTTATAGGTCATTTCAATGCACTTTGAATCAAAATGAGAATCTAACTCAAATGTGATGATACAATATCTTCAGCCCTAAAATGGATTTTCCAAATTTCCAGCAAATAGCAAACAAAGGTCCTGACCTGACTCCAGCCGCCGTACACCCAGGCAATACATGGTCCCAGATCTTTGCATTCCCTGACAGATGCAGGCTTTTGTCTGTCATCACACCTGCCTGGATTATCACACAAAACTTGTCTTTGCTGAGTGGCATAGCCACATGTTGCAGAACACTGTGAATACAGAATAAAACGTTTCATTAGCCTGCTGTGACTTCTTTGTATGATCCTGTACTGTCCTGGAATATTTGGTAAAGTATAGCAGAGCTGGTCTGACAGTAAATAGAAGGAAACCTAGGACTTGGTAAAGGAGATCTTGATTCACCTACTTATTCAAGCATCTGCGCGTTTGTCGCGGCTGCGACCCGCGAATCGCTACCGCGATTTTTGGCATTTTTTGGTCCATGAATCACAGCAGTGATTTTTTAATTTAAAAAAAACAACCCAAAAACCCCCCACTGCCGGTGAAAAAAAAAATGGAAAAAAAAAATGGGGTGTAAAAAGCCAGAAAAAAGAAAGAAAACAAAAAGCTGACCGAACCTCTTTACTTTTAGAAAGAAATGTTATTTTCACTTCTGTTTCACTTCATCTCTTTCTCACTCGGTGACACAACGTTTATTTGTTACTTTCATGTGAAGAATATAACTAACTACATTACATACTACTTATATTGCGGTTTCTCTTTTTTTTAATTTTCCCTCTTTGTTAAGTCCTAATTTGCTTGTGTGTTAATTTTTTTCTTGTTATTGTTCTGATGTGTTTTCTGTTTTTGTGTTTATACAGCGTTATGTCAGTTAATTTTATGTTGTTCCTACCTTTTAAAAAATATATAAATATGTGTTATGAAGAGCTTGTTTCCATGAAAACAGAATACTGATACCGGCAGGCCCCTTTGTGATTTCATAATTTACTTGTATTATCCTGTACTTTTGCTTGAATTACATACGTTTATGGTTAAAAAGGCCAATCTTTGGATAGGTGGATACACCCACTAGTTTGTTAATTTTTTTGAGGTTGTTTATGTTCTGTTCAAATTTGGATTTCTTTCTGTTGTGAAACCTTTATTTAATTTTTCACATTTTCAAACTCTGTGTGGATACATATGATATTCTGGATGCTTAAAACAGAGAGCAAAAAATTATTGTGCTTTAGATTAAGTTACCTCTATCAACACATTGCTATATACGTCGTCACAGAGGGTTGAAAGCTTGGAAATTATTGGCAACTTTTATGGCAACTTTTGCCTTTTGTGTGGCAGCTTTTGGCAACTTTTGGACAAAAAATGGCAACAAACACAGATGCTAGCTTATTGCCTTACAACAATATCATTTAACTCGTACTTCCAGGAAAGTCAACTGAGATTCTCTCATTCTAATACAAACACATAAAGCTTTCATTACGAGGTATTCTTATCTTTAAAAATATTTCCCACCCCAATGGTAATGAGGATTCAAACTGTCAAAATTGTTGAAATATAAGCACAACATAGGGCATCAATTTTTGTCCATGCTACTGACCTGGCTCCAGTCTCCTTTTTGCCAGTTCAGACATTCAGACTCAAAGCATTCTTCAATGGTGGAAGGTTTGGTCCCTAGGGCACAAAAGTCAAGGCCGACTCTCCCACCGGTATGTGCTTGGATGCAGAACACTTCTCTTGTCCTCACTCCTTTCCCACATTGACGGGAACACTGTGAAAATAAGAAATTGTCACTTGTTGGGTTGAGGTGAAGAAGCAAAGAGAGGTTACAAAAGTTGTAAAAATAAGACTTGTCTTTGCCCAAATTTACTAAATTGTCCAGTAATAGACAGCTGAAGTTGTAAACTTCAGATAATTACAGTATATCTTAAGGCTTTTTCACTGACAATTTTTATATTTTCTTCCCCTTCTAGCAACTAAATGTCATGGGCTGAGCACAAATTTTACTAACTCCAGTTTCCAACATCAGAGAGTTTTGTCCTAGTTATCAAGGCTGTTGAAAAATATTCCTTTTGATCTCAAAGCTTTTATATTCAATGCCTGCTTTATTCAAAATTTCAGTTTCATTATATACTAACTCCTGTTGCCACGACCAGAAATCAGTGCATTCAAAAGTGATTCACATCAGAACCAGAAAAAAGAGTTAGTATAGATCTAAAAAACAGGTACAATAAGATCATGATACAGTCTTCAAAGACACAAACTACAAGTACTGCTCATTTCAGGTGAGATGTCTCATTGTGGCACAATGCAGTGTACTTAAACTTCACAATACTCTTATGTTTTAGCACAGATGCCTATAAATTAGTTCCTTCCTGTTATGGCTAACTTATAACCTTGTTGGTACCTACCCGCGACCAGTCAAGTGTCTGCCACACAAACTTGGAATTATCACCAGTTCCCTGAAGTTCCTCAGGTGGTCCTGAGTTACCGGTATTGTTGGAAGTTGGGTCTTCTTCACCTTTCTTTCCACTGTCATGATCAGCTTTATTGCTCTCTTCGTTGTTCTTCTTGTGATGGTTCTTGTTATGATGGCGATGATGGCGGTGATATCTGTGCTTGTGTTTGTGATTTGTATCTTGATTGGTCAGTTCAAAGTCAACATTAGCACCAGGAGGTGTATAGCTTTTATATGAGTCACCGATGAGTACATTTTTACTATCATTATTATTATCATTATCACCGGGTGGTAAAACTGCACTGCCATTGACATAAGGTATAAAATCTGATGAAGCTGGTAATGGTGAGTTCAGTGTTGAGTCAGAGAGGACTACCCCTCCCTCTGAGATATCCAGCATTTTCTCCTCAACTTCACTTATACATTTGTGCTCATTGCATGATCGCTTGACGTCCGGTTTTCCTGCTGTACAGTGAGAGCCTCGAGTGCAAATGACCTTCCTGAACTGAACTCCTCCATCACATGGACGTGTGCACTGAAACAAATAACAGAATATTCATTTAAATTTAGAAAATACTGTTATGTGACAAAAAAGAGTTTCATAATATGCCACATAAAAAAGATCAACCAACAAGTATTTTAAAACATTGAGAAGCTCTACATTCAATTGCACATAAAAGACCAGCTACATCCTGAAAAAGCCTGTTCTGCTAAGACTTCCAATCTTAAAGATGTCAGCAACAGGCTAAACAGGATGCATTCAGGTCACCTCAGAGGCTTTCATACTGACCAGAGCCTAAGAAAAGTGGCAAGTCATCCACTGGCATGCCTGCAAACAGAGTGGATAATGAATTGATCCATAATAATATATTCAAGCATAAGAGGCAAGCAACTTAGCTCTGGAATAATGAGCTTGAAATCTGAGCAGTGACATTGCATTTTCCTTTCGTCCCTTATGACAATTTGCTCCACAGTACTTAAAGACAACTCACGTTGCTCCACTCCTCCACCACCCAGACACCCAGCCCAGGACACGGATCTTTGTGATGACACGGCTCCACCTCCACAGGTTTCTCCAAACCTCCACAGGCTTCATCCTCTAGGGCAATCTGCTCGTCTGAGCCAAGACTCCGCACACAGATCACAGTCCGGCGATGTATGCCTTTGTCCCCACACGTAACTGAACAGTGTTGCCAGGGACCTGTCCACCACCTGAGGAAAAACATACACAGAGGAGAAGAGAATGAAGGATGGAAGAACAGATAGTGATGTATAATGTTCAAGTTTTCAAAAAAGTAGTCCAAGAACACGTGAATTTATACAAATTTTAATGTTCGTGTGAAATCGAAAACGACCAGCATCAGGAATTTCTCTCTTCTCAGAGGAATAATTGATGTTTCAGAATATGTCATAATCACAAAAAGGTTTGTTTAAAGTAAACAGTTTTGCTTAAAAAAACGGAAAAGAAAAAAAGTTGCTATCATCAAAGTAGACAAAATTCCAGTATATAAAAAAAAAGAATAGCATGCTCATATCATCAGCGTCATTCCACAGTCACCCAAACCAATTTCAGGGGGGTTCACGGATAAAAATATTATTGACATTATGACAGTATACTTTCATTCTGGTGTCTTATTTACTTCCTAGATTTTAATTGAAAAATAACAAGTGTCAATGACATAGTAGTTCCCACTTCAGAGTTTTCTTTTTCTACAATTTTCTTATAACTTAAAAATATGACATAGGTCTAGATGCTGGTTGAACGATGCTGACGATATATCATTTATCTGTATCCATCTATCTATCTCTCTCTATATTACAGGTAGTGTCCCCCCTCCATGACACAGACAGCTAGGCCTACATCTACCAAACCATCAAGCGGAACATTAAGTTAGAAACAAGGATTTGCAGAGTCTCTAAACATCAAAGACCTATTTGAGACCCAGCATCTAACAAGTCTGAAACCCATCTGTGGTTTGCTCTTTTGGAGTAGGCCTATAATGAAAATTAAGTAGAAATTACCTTGCAGGACAAAGATGAGCATTGCACTCTCTGAGTTGATCATCAGGCTTCGTGTTTGAGTCACAAAACATCTCATCCACAAGTCCTGCTTCCTGTTCTTTACAAACAACAGCAGATCTTTGTGTTCCTGTAGTGAAAACAAGAGAAAAATGTGCATAGAATGTTCCATTTATTTAAAGAAGTTACAAGCTTAACAACATAGCATTTACTAACAAAAGAGATGGGAAATGAGCAACAACTACACACAAGGTTTAGCATACAGCTAACTTTTTTTTAACCCAAACTAGAACTATTCAGACAAAGACTTTAAATCGGAGTTTCTGCTACTGAAACAACCTTGTAGGATTTAAATTGATACTGATACAATACTTTCAGAAGAACTGGAAATAAAACAGGTGAAGAATGAGACAATAAGTTCACTGCAGAGAATTACGAAAGGAGGCCAAGAGCTATCCTTATCACAGAAGAAAAAAAAAGTGACACAAAGTTTTACCAAATTTAGAATATCACACCAAAACCTACATCCAGTCAAATTAAGATTTCTATGGGTACCTAAAGAGGACTAGTTTGATATTCTCCCTCTTTAATCTCTCCACACCCCCAACCCCCCCCCCACCCCCCACCCCCCCTCCCCCAACCTAACCCTTCACCATCACCCTTTTCCGCACACAAATACTTTATGCAATCTTTTTGTACCGTACAGCAACAAAACAAAGCCTTTGATTACTATTAACTCTTTAAGTTAAGGACGAAGCGGACACATATATCTGACAGCAGAAGACCAAAAGCAAAGTTGTGGGATATTTCTAATCATCATACACAGACCAGAAACACAAGTTTGAAAATATCTTATTGTATACATTATTATTATTTGCCTTTTAAAAGTATCTTATATAAAGGAAAAAGAACTGAAATCTTTGTATGAATACACAAAGTTATGCTTCTTTTAGTATTCCAGAACACCGAGTCTTCAAGTATTCGAATGACCAATATGCGCCTCCATAATGAGTTATGTGTCCATAACTTACCCCCACCACAGGAAACGGTACAATGAGACCATCCCATGAAGTCCCAACTGAATTCTGGTTTTCTGTTGTCTGTGGCATTCTCCTTGGGGACTGTGTACTCAAACTCTACGCCTGGGTTGTGGGTCTGCATCAGAAGCTGGAAAAGGCAAGAGAAGATGAACAATTATGCAGTCCTATACATGTTTTTACATAAAAGAGGAAATATTTTCTGTTTAACCCCTTTACTGCTGACCTATATTCCCCACCCTATGCTCCCCTTGTTTCCAGGAATAGCACTTCAAACAGGTGATCCATTAAAAGTGCTATTTACTCTGTGGTTATGCATCAAATGCATAACAATGTCTATTTCATTTTAAAGGATAATGATTGAACCACTATCATCATGAGCAAAAATTAAAGTAAAAAGCTTGCTAGCGTCTAAATACAGGCTGGTCAATATCACCATCAACTACCTTAGTCTTTATTTCCACCACCTTCTCCACATAACCTGTCTATAAAGTAGCAGTTGCAATTGTTGTTTTTCTACCTCTCACACTGAAACATTCAAAAGTGTTGACCAAAAATGTTGCATAGAAATCACAATTACTCACCATGATATGCAACGGTTCTTTGAGGGGTCCAGGAGCCAAAAACTTTTCTCTGTTTCCTATTCTTTTGTAGTGTATAACTGTTCCAGCAACTTCATAGTCACCCGACCACTGAAGAATAGAAGTTATCAGAATCTAGGTAAACAAATTGTTCATTTAAAACACAGGCTAATCAGAAGAAAAAAAAGTGTGTACCTAACATATTAAGATAAAATATATATCACAATGTACTTATATTTTAATGATGTAAATAATTTCGAAAATTACTCCACAAAATTTGGTAACTTTCACAGCAAGCTATTCAAGGTAATTCTGACCTAACCAAATAGAATAAATCTTCAAATAAATCTTGTTAGGATAACAGGGTTGTACGCTGTCTCTATGTAAGACTGTTTACCTGAATGAACCAATGACCATTGAGATAGTACTCTCCAGCATCATTGCGTAGAGCTAAAAAGTTACTGGCTTCTGCAACTTCTTCGACCCGAATGTTCCTAGCTCCAACTGGAATCACAGTAGCTTCCACGTAACCTGAAAGAAACATGAAATATATTATTTGTAAACATATGAGTGCCCCCACTTTCAGAAACAAGTACCGCAACAAAGACAATTTTTTATCTCAATTTAAAAAAGGAAGAAACAGAATCTACAAGTAATGAGTAGTCTAAATATTCTTTATGTTTAGATGAAAAACAGAAATGAAAGTCCAAAATGAAACTAGCCTTTTTTGTGAAAGACGAAAGAAAAATCAGATATTTATCATTGATCAGTTTTAAAATATCTTTGAGGCTTTTTGCAATCTAAAATCTGAATAAAGGCAGTTTATACAATTAAGCGGGGTATTCATGATTATGAACACTAAAAAATATAAAAATAAAACATTAGAATGTTTTGACTTATTATGCTGAATCTCTCATGTTTTCTATAAGTAATATTTTTTATGCAGATCTAATTTAATTGCTCTTTTTCACTGACCTCTGAATTAATATACATTCTTCAAATAATGACACAGATATTTATAATACCTAATTTTTTGGTTTCCTTGAACTGCTGTTTTATAGTCTTGCAAGTTGAACCATCTCCAAAGCAAACTCCACAACGATCCTCTGTTGCACTGGAGTCTAATATCCAGTCACATCCCACATGCTGTGAACCACAAGAGGTATGAGTCAATAACAATACAGCAGCAAGCATTTTTTTGTATGCCTAAAGAAACTGCTATGGCAGTCTACTCCCATTTGTCTATTACCAGTTTGCTAATTGGAATCTATTCATTTATATCTTTTTTTTTGGGGGGGGGGATAATTTTTAGATGATTCCAATATTCTTCACAGCAGAGAAACATCACCTCCAAGGTGGAACCCAGGACCTAAGAGAAAATATACTAAAGAAGAAAAACAAAGGAACGAGAGAAGACAGGGAAGTACACAAAAGTCAGTAGGCCTACTGCTCATGATATGTATTTGAACATGCACCATATGCTAGCATACTGTTAGTCTGTTTTCTTTCAACAAATACATTTTTATCAGATGAGCAAGGATGGTAGCCTGATGGACGCATTTCTAAGATTAGATTTTAATTGATAGGGCCTATTCACTCTTTAAAAATATTGCTTGCTTTTTCTGGACTCTCATCCATGTATTGAGTTTCAGTTTGAGCAATCATCTTGAAAACATGCCTAAATTCACTTCCTAATTGAATCTCAAAGTTTCGTAGCCTAAAGTCTTTTCTTCTCAACTAATAACATGTCATAAAATCAAAACCCTAAAATGACCCCTAAATTATTGAAAAGCTTGTTATTCCAACACAATAAAACAACTTCTGGTTTGAAAATAATAAAAATAAATCTGCGTTTCTAACACGGATAGTAGCCTACCCTGCATCTTCCAGAGATACACATGTGTCTAGATCCCATAACACAAGGCGTTCCGTCAGTCACAATATCCTTCAACAACACCGAGAAGAACATGTCTTTGGGCTTGCAGTGCAGCTGACATGGTGTCTCTGAGAAATGAAAAACAAAATTCAGACTGTGTTAAAGTTTGCTTCTGTTTTCAATTATCGGTACATAGTTTAAGTTTTGTTCATTGGTCTTAATTGGTCAAAGATTATCAGAGTTTTTATAATTTCTGTACCTTATTCACAGACTGAGCAGTATTTTGAAAGAAACACAGAAGACAGTTGAGAAGTTGGTTTATAAAATCCTGCTGCAGTGTTAGAATTAGAAATGTTGAAACCAAGAGCGAAGCCTGCAAGTGCAAGATGCAAACATCTACAAGCGGTACTGAAGCTTTTCTACTCTGCCAGAATTGGTCTTAATGGCCATATATATATAGTAGAAGCTTAAATCATCTTAATCCTTATTTGTTCAATTTCTCTTTTAAAAATATTGTCCTCTGCAGATGCACTGGTCCTTATCAGACATTGACAGATGAATTATCATTATTGTAGAATTATTGTTATTATTCCAGCAGAGTCCTATAAAAAATGTTCTTGTTGATATCCAGCATATGAATAAACCATGAAACTGATTGTAAAATATTTTTTTAAAACCAAATAGTTGATTGTCTAGTACACCTTGTTCTTATAGTTAAAGACATAACATTGTAGGTGTACCTGGCGTGGAAATAGGTTCCCATTCATACTTTGAACCCTTGTATGGAAGTTTATTAAATTCTGCGCATTGCTGTGCTCTGAAACTCTGAGCCTCCTCATCGCAAGGCTGAAAAGGAAAACATTAGAAAATTGAAAACATATACATGTACTTATCAAACACCTCCTATATTTAATAAAAACTGATAATTATAAGATTATCAGTCTGGTACAAAATGTGAATCTTTTTGGACAATAAAAAATATTCAACAAAAAATGTGAATTAAAAAAAAAAATGGATCAATAGAATAATTCTATGACAAATGTTGAAAAACATCGGAAATGTCCTTTTTACTTTTCAAAAAAGCATACTAGGCCTACATAGTCGAATAAAAATATAGAGTCCTATAAAAAGAGTTGAGATACTTACATCTGTATTACATATTCTGTATCGTTTTCTCTCTCCTGTACAGTATCTGCCTCCATTTGATGGCCTACATAAAATATAGGGAAAAAAACACATGAGATCTATATTGATACATTCTTAAGAGCAAACAAATTCTTGTTAAAATGTAAAATGTATAAGCAATGGATCCAAGGTGCTTCTCACAGCGTAAAACATAATAGGTGTATTCTCACATATTTATATAATTTTATTTTTTTCAAATAAAAGACTAAATAAATAATAAGACTGGATTTCATAATACGATTGATAATTGTCTTTCACTCATTTGAAAGCACCTTTGAATTTCAATCTACATCAGAGAGCCCCAGTCAAGATATTAGTGTTCAGCTGCCAATTCTTTAAAAAGTTGAACATAAACTTTTAAATTAAAAACCACACATGCAGCCTACAGAACAGGAAGGCTTGACATGCATTTTTTAAAAAAGTATGTAAAATGACTAAATGCAATTAAAAATTTCTCCATTTGACAAAAATAAATAAGTTTTTCAATCAGAAGTGGAGCTTAAACAGGTAAAGGGAAACCATAAATTATTCTCAACCATGGCAGGTATGGCATGGTTTTGTTTATTTGCTTGGTAAGTTTTATGGCTCTCGCAACTACATAAGGTCATAAGAGGACGCAAGGCATGGTTTTATCACCCAAATCAACACAGTAATGCTAAAATGACGAAAGAAGCAGGACCTCCGATGAGACCAAGCCAAATTTGTGGGGAACCTTGAAAACACTCCAAACAAGTACACTGCATCTGGGATTCATCTTAAGGTCATCCTAATCATAGCCTAGCATGATATTAACGAAGCAAACATCGTATTTCTTTATTGTAGCTTTCAAAAGCTCCTTCCCAGTTACTTTAAAATCATGTGGAAGATGATTAATTTAATATGGAAAAAGTCTTGACAAAAAATTGTAACAAAGATATCTGTGTTGGAAAATATTGTATACTTTTCTATTTTTTTTGCATACTCTTATTTTTCATATTTTGCCCATTCAGGTTTTTTTGCAAAAGTCTCGAATTTGCCAATTGAGTGCTCCAAATCAGTAGCGTTTTTTTTAACATTTCACAAACAAATTTATTCACAAATTTCCTTAAAAACAGAGAAAATCAGGTATTCAAGTCACATGCAAAAAAAAGGTATATAGTAAGTCTGTAAGCCCCAAGATTGATCATGACCAATGTCTGAGTTGTTGCAGATGTAGGCTGGTATGAGTCTGGTTCCAATAATCTGAAAGTATAATCGCAAACTCACGGTGGGTGGTTACATTGCCTCTGGGACAAAGATACTCCGGCGCCACATGTGCGAGTGCACGAGGTCCACTCTTGCCACTGACCCCACTGACCATCAATAGCCTGAGGTCTTTCTCCAATGTCCACACATTGGCCAGCAAAACACCACTGCAAAAAAAAAATTGGAAATGAGCTTTTAAGCCTATGACCATGTACTGTGTGAGGCTCTTTATAAGACCAAAATATGATCGAGAAGAAAACATGAAATTTATTGAGCACTATTCAAAGATGAAAATATATGATGCTTTCTGAAACAGTATGAAATATTAATCCAATGTTTTGTTTTTCTTCTCCATGTTATCAAGTAATCATCCTGAATTTAAAAAATGACAACAGGAACATTTCAGTACATAAATTGGACTGAAAAGACTTAGTTTTGAGCCTTGTCAGTATCAAACCTTATACTCAATAAGACAATACTCTGCGAACTAGATAGAGACAACCTATAAGACAACAAAATATGCAGAACAAAAAGAAACTTTTAGATACCTTGTTTTTGCCACAGATGGTCCCTACTGCAGCTGCCTGAAGCTTTGTTGAGCACTTGTTGTTCACTCTACACCACAGGGTAGTGCAGATATTCTGCAATGATTACAACAAGAAATCATCGTTTATCAGCAGGTACTGTGACAACCTCGGAATTGTTTTTGTAAAAGCATAAAGCACAATAAACACTACTCACAAATAGGTAGTTTGGAAGAAAGTCTATTAATTAGGGCCTATGGGAAAAAGTAAGAATTTCATATTACATCTATAAGACACAAATACAATTCACTCTCCTCCTAAATAAGTATCACCCTTGATAGCTGAAGCAGAAAATGACATGAACAAAAGTCCATTTCACTATTCCTCTCTTGAATGCTAAATATTATTACAAATACTCAATGGCAATCCTTAATAAGGTGTTTGGGAGGAGGTGTTGAAAATAGATCTTAAAAATTAAAGCATTGGCATGATACGTACTAATATCTGTAACACAACATTATTTCCTCTTCAACAAGTAAAATCTTTAGACTTCTCACCTCCAGCACTTCTATGCCATTGCACCTCTCAGCACCATCCCCATACAGGAGTCGACACTGGTGGTCAGCATCGTACATGGTCCCAGCAGGAAGCTCAGGATACTTGAATTCATGAAGTCCTGGTGGATCATCTAGACAGTAGCCCCAGTTGCGACTGATATGCAGAATAAGAAGTTGTCAGTATGATAGGTACCACAGGGCTGATGGAGTAACTGAATACTGTATAACAAATTGCTGTGAGCAATGTTAGGTAAAATAAAGAGAATAAACACAATCTCAGATGGAAATGGGAAATCTAATCAAGAGGTCATGCGAATCTATGAGGCCTGTCTATCGCTGACAAAAATATATTAATAACAACAGCAATGGCACAACTTTAAACCTGCTAATGATTAAACTTGATAATCATTAAATTAAAGTAATTAAGAAGTGTAAAAAAACAAACACCACTTATCTAACATATTTGACTGATAAGAATAATTACCTTCTGTTACCAAGATACTGCTTCAATTATAAAAAAAGAATTATATTGATTAACTCTTCATCTCCGAGGGGGGGTAAACACACTATGCCGAGGCCCTTTTTTGGTACTGAATCTAAAAATGACAAAAACGTCACTAAATTTGTCATTAAATCAAAACAAATTAACCTATTTTGATAGGTCTTTATCTTATGAATGTAGTCCCGATAAAAGAGACCTGATTTCGGCAATCGTCGAAAAGTAATTTGATGTCGACAGCATTGTAAAGAAATGTGCCCGAGCCGCTGTCAGCGGGTCACTGGCACAGCGGTTCTGACCACGAGCAGCTGGGAGCAGCTTGCCCAAGGCAAAGAGTTAATCAAATATTAGAGATGAAAATGAGGTTTTAAACATTAAATTATCATAATTTTTTTAAAAAGCATTTGAAATGCTTATATATAAGACTCCGCTAAATGCTGTTTTAAAAAGTGAAGTAGGACACTGAGCAGTGGAGTTGTTGTGCTTACTCTAGAAACTTGGTGATGGATGCTCTACTGCAGCTGGACCACTTTGAGGGAGTCTTATCCCAGGTGAGGTGGGGGGCCATGACATACTGGATTACATCATCTGACTTACAGTTGTCCTGACCGTTGTCGTGCTTCATGGCAAAACTGGAGAACAACCAAGAGAATCTGTTCAAGTACATGGCTCAAACTGAAGTTAAGAAAAGAAAAATCCTTGCTCATCAGGCAGTCTATGTATTGCGTTGATAAGAACAAAATTGGGTATCAAACATTTGGAACCTAACAAGACATTGAAAAAAATCTCTTATTTATAATAACATTTCCAAAAACAGTTTCTTGTTTAAATGCATCAGTTAAAATAAATACGGAGGAAGACCTGGACAGCACATTTAACCATGCCAGCAGAAAACTTTGTTTTTAAATACTGAAATAAAAATGCCTCCGCCAGTTATGGTAAGAGATACTGAATTCACAAAAGGTCCAAGTTACTACAATAATACTTTTAGACTATATGACAATCATAAGTGAGACAAAATAAACACATCTCAGACATAATATCATATGTGAAGCGTGCTGACAAAATGAGGAACTTCTTGGATTCAAGCCTTAAGGAAATAGATACATCACACTTATAGGTGAAGTTACAATTTATGAGTATGAAATGATAAAAGGCAGGTTATAGTTAAAGAATATAGCATCAATAAAAAAGATGTTGATTTTTGGCCAATATCTTCATTTGTGAATTGCGAGAAGTAACTCATTTTGTCAACACGCATCACAATTTATTTTGTGTATTTTAAAAAGACATGAAAGAACATTTAGACTCCAGCCCAAGATGAGCTCAGACAAGCTTAGGAAAAGCAATCTCATTTCAATAAACCAGGGCATTTCTCTGGTTTTGTAGTCTATATCAAAAAGGGTAAGCCTACATCAATCCATTTAACTCTGTACCAGAGATAACTATAACTCACTTATGTCCCATCTCGTGAGCCACAGTCCAGGCTAGAGACAAACCGGTGTCTTCGTTGATACTGCAGGTACGATGAGGCTGGCACAGGCCTGCCACTTGGGCTAATCCCAGGGTGCTGCATGGCTCGTTCATACGAGAGCAGATGTTTCTCCTGGGGAATAACCCGTTTGTTTAATTAGTTTTAAATGCCTTAAGTCTTTTACACTACTATTAACTCATGTTTGACCCATGAAAAGATATATGTGCACAACCTGTACCTTTTCATTATGGAAACTTTATATAAGAAATGAGTGTTTTATATGATGTGATGTGGGCCAAAGGCCTACAACCCTGAAAAAACTTACTTAATCATGTTTGACTTTACTGTTAAAGTGCTACACCAGATTGTTAATTTTTATTACAACAGATCTATGGTTCAAAATAGGATGCAAACACACGACAGTTTTAACCAGATTGTTGTATTAGAAAGTTAGTTTTTATCATCCCTGTCAACACATTCAAACATTATAAGGAAGAGAATGTTAGAACGTTTTTCTTATTTAAAGCTGTTTCTCCACTTAAAATTTAAAAAGACTATTAGCAGACTTGAAATGCAAAGAAACAACAAAAGATCAAACTTTATACTTTGTTCACAAGAATCATATTTTTGTTGCCATAATTCTGACCTTGTCAACAACACTGCAACATCATGATGGTTTGGGTGGTCGTCATCCCTGAAGTTGATATTTTTCTGCCATTTGCAAAAACTTTTGAGGGTCTTGTCAGCATGGTGGGTTATTTTCAGCTCCTCCTGTTGCAATTGGATGATATTTTGAAGATTAAGATTAGGTGAAGTAAGCATAATAATCCATTCTATGTCATGGAATTATCAACAGAAAAATCATATAGAAAAACAGGAAACAAAAGCAACTGGTATTTATTGTGATATTCAGTTAAGATTTGGATCAATTTAGCAAGTTGGGATACACTTTTCAGCTCTTGAACAATAACGCACATTTGATCATATGAGCTAGTGCTTGTCAACCTTTCATAACTAGAGCCCACTTTCGTCACATTCATGAGGCTAAAATTTCCATAAAACCCACTCACACTAAAGGTATTTCCAAGCGGGTATTAAATAATACCTTTCACTACATGGGTGATGATCCCCTTTGCCCACCAAAATTTTCAAATATCGTTCAGGTTAGCAAGCAGTCTATGCAGCTAAGCGCTGTCATTAGAAAACACTTTATTCATTTCTCCCCCAAGAAACCAGTGAGTTTCTGCTAATATGGCTTCATTTGAACAGGAACATGTCTGAATATCATTATCTCAGCAACATTTATATTCCTGAATGACTAACTAACTCACATCAGGATCTTGCATGAGCAGAATTCTCACAATGACAATGTTAATCGCATTTCCAATGGAAGCATCATGGAACAAAGCAGCAACCTGTGAATGAAAACCAAATACAGTGTGGCATATAAAAAGTGAGCTTAATATGGAGAGGGACACCCCGACTCAAAAAAAAAGAAAACAAAAAAGAAAACAAAAGAACTGACAAATTGTAATATAGGCTATAAAATACCAAAACGTCCCATACCCATGTGTTTTCAGCTTTCCTGATAATGGATTTGAACTCAAATCAGGTCTTATGAGTATTCTGAATAAATTTTCATTTCCTTTTCTTCAATACTTGGATGGAATCTCATGAAGAGTTTAAGGTACTAAATAGGCTAACAATTAAGTGATAACATTCTGCTCAAGAAAATTTTCCTTGTCGTTAATCAAACATATTTGAATAATAGTAGCCCTATCCCTCCTTCAATCCATTCTCATTAACCTTATAATTACAGCCTTAGATCCCTTCTCACCAGCCACCTCGTTTCTATTCCCCCTGTACATTTTTAGAAACATTAACATCTTTGTCTTCCATTTCTACCATTTTTAATCGCCTCAATCAGAGAAACATACAAACTCTCCGAATCTTACACTTTGTTTTTGTTCATTGTCATTGTAGTAAAAAACTCACCGCTGATATTATCATAGATATAATCTAGCATCATCCATGTATGTTTATCCAGTGACTGTTCATATGAGTGTGCATTAATGTAACTTGTGTGTGTGTGTG